GAAGGCTGAGGCGGAAGGATCGCCGGAGCCCAGCAGGTCGAGGCTGCGGTGGCCGGGAGTGGCCACTGCACTCCAGTCTGGGTGACAGAGTGAGACTCCAACTTAAAAAAAAAAAAAAAAAAAAGACTGAGAAGGGAGGATCCATTAAGCTCAGGAGATCGAAGGTGTGGTGAGCTGTGATCATGCCACTGCCCTCCAATCTGGCCACAACAGAGTGAGACCCCAGCTTAAAAAGAACGGGGTGGCCCTGCTTCCCTTGGACACTCCCAGACATTGCAGGGAAAGCTAGCCATGGGAAAATAGGCCACCCTTGGCCAGAGGAGCCTTCAGAAGGTCCACAGGGGTGACAGCCTCGTTTTATAGATGAGTCAACTGAGGCACGGGGCACTTCAGTGGGTTGCTGGGGGCCCCTCTGCCAGTCGGAGCAGAGTGCACACCCCTGCAGGTGTGCCCAGCTGGCTGCAGGTGTCTTGCTCTTTTATCCTCCATGAGCTGCTCATCGGCACACAGGCTCTGAATGGTTGATAGGGCCAGACAGGATTGTCAGCAGGAAGTGGCCATCAGGGGCTCGTATTGAATGAGCAGTGGAAAAAGAAAAACAAAATTAGCCGGGCGTGGTAGTGCGTGCCTGTAATTCCAGCTACTCGGAAGGCTGAGGTGGAAGGATCGCCAGAGCCCAGCAGGTCGAGGCTGCAGTGGCCGGGAGCGGCCACTGCACTCCAGTCTGGGCGACAGAGTGAGACTCCAACTCAAAAGAAAAAAAGAAAAACAAGCCCCAAACTTCAGCCAGTGTTGGAGGTGTTCACTTAACCCGGAGTAAGAACTTTCTAGATGTGATTGTTGTAAGCTCTGGAAAATTGCTGCCTTTTGGGAGACGAAACATGGAGCATCTCTGAGTCAAGGAAGTCACCCCCGATCCCACTAGCCCAGCTTGAGTGAGATTTCTCGAGAATCTTCTACTATAGCTCCCGTCCTGGAGCTCCCTAACCTGGGAAGAAGAGCGGAAAGAGGGGAAGAAAACTGGGGAAGGGGTCACCAGTGGCTCCATATTTAAGTTTGGTTTTTCATTTTGGCAACCACTTGTTGAGCACATTCATGGCAGGCACTGGGGAAAGCTTTCTGCCCATTTCAATCTCATTTAATCCTCACAACACCTCCATGAGGTTGGAATGCCCACTGTCCCCTTTCAGATTGTAAACTGAGGCTTAGAGAGAGGTTAACTGTGTGGGCCAAGGTCATACAGCTGGTTAGGGTTAGGACCCAGGCTAGTGACCCTTCCCAAACACCTTGCACAGTTACTGAGAAGATCACAACCAGGGAGGAAACCCCTGTGGTGGCCAGGGTTATTATCCCAATGCAGGGGTTCCCAGGCGGGGTGCTGAGAAAGCACTGAGGGGCCAGACAGGATTTTACAAAAGTACTTTTAATACAGTTAAGACTGGTGCCACCTGCCTGTGCCCGAGCCCTCTGTGGAGTGGAAGCGAGCCTCCAGGGCTTGGCTGGTGAACTGCACACCCTGCGCACCCCCACCCACTTCCTCCCTCATTTCTTCTTGGTCTTTACCAGTCCCTTCTGCACGAGGCTGCGGTACAGCTCCTGAATGTAGGTGTAGACGCACTTGGAATCGGGCACTGCCAGCCTCACCATGTCATCCACCTCCAGCAGCTGTGCACAGTCGGCCAGTTTCCTGAGAGGTGGGGTGGAGTGGGGAGCAGAGGGTTAAAGGTGAAGGATATGGGAGCCAAGGGAACGGGTGGGACGGGCAGCCCAGCAAGGAGGAAGCCTGTAGAATCGTGTATATAGGAGCTGGGAGATCATCTAAGCCAACCGTTATACAGATGAGACCCATTGAGGCCAAGACAGAGTTAGGACTCAGACTCAACTGGTCTGAATCCAAAACATTTTCTTTTTTTCTTTCTTTCTTTTTTTTTTTGAGTTGGAGTCTCACTTGATTGCTCAGGCTGGAGTGCAGTGGTGGCACACTCACTGCCAACCTAGCATTGATCCACAGGGCTCTGGCAATCCTTCCACCTTAACCTTCCAAGTAACTGGAACTACAGGCGCACGCTACCACGCCTGGCTAATTTTTTTGATTTATTGTAAAGATGAGGTCTCGCCAAGTTGCCCGGGCTGTTCTCGAACCCGCAGGCTCAGGCAATCCACTCGCCATGGCCTCCCAAAGTGCTGGGATTTATAGGTTGAGCCACTGTGCCTGGCTTTTTTTTTTTTTGAGTTGAAGTCTCACTCTGTCACCCAGGCTGGAATGCAGTGGCACAATCACAGCCACCACAACCTCGACCTGCTGGGCTCAGGCGATCCTTCTGCCTCAGTCTTCCAAGTAGCTGGAACTACAGGCACGTGCGCCCACGCCCGGCTAATTTTTTGATTTATTGTAGAGATGAGGGCCCAAGCTGGTCTCGAACCCTTGGACACAGGCAATCTTCTTGCCTCTGCCTCTCAAAGTGCTGGGATTACGGGGTGAGCCACTGTGCCCAGCCTGAAGCCCATGTTTTCATTGCACAGCATGTCCTCTCACGGGAACAGGATCCTCTGGTCTTGGGATCTCCATGATCCTACCCCTTTCACAGACACATGTATCTGTCCTCGGTTACCAGGGCGCTCCTGCCAGGACAGGCCTCTCAGGTAGAACTTAAGGGACAGAAACCAAATCCTAGGCTGAGCCACCAAGCCCAGCCGGAAAGGCCTCTCAAAGAAAGTAAGTCAGCCAGGTGCAGTGCCTCACACCTTTAATTCCAGCACTTTGCGAGGCTGAGGCGAGAGGATTGCTTGAGCCCAAGAGTTAGACACCAGCCTAGACAACATAGCAAGACTTCTCTACAAAAAAGTCACAAAAATTAGCCAGGCATGGTGGCACACGCCTGTAGTCCCAGCTACTCAAGAGGCAAAAGGATTGCCTGAGCCCAGGAGACTGAAGCTGCCGTGAGCTGTGATCATATCACTGCACTCCAGCCTGGGTAACAGAGTGAGACCCAGGCTCAAAAAAAAAAAAGACCAAGCCACGTGCATATCTGGGAGAGAGGAGTCCTGGCAGTGGAACTAGCATGTGGAAAGGCCCCGGGGCAGGACCACCTGGCTTGGTGTGCCCGAGGAGTCGGTGGCACTTAGCGAGTCCTGCTTTCTAACTTGACAGCTGCCCTTTGGGGTTATGTGACACTCCTGGCTTTGCTGGAGCCGATAATCTGAGCTAATCACCATTGGAACCTCATGCCAGATGCTTCATCAGATGCTTCCCCCTGGATGGTCTCATTCACTCCTCTCAACCCACAGAAGAGAAAGAACTGGAGATTCAGAGTGTGTTGGTGGTTTGCCCAAGGTCGCAGTGGTGACACAGCTGTAACTCAGCCCCAGGAGTGCCTGACGCTTCTGACATCTTGCTCTGAAGCTGGGTCTCAGCAGTCCCAGTCCACCAAAGCCAGCCATGGGTGCTGGTGGTAGGAGAAACCAGGGCCCCAGCAGAAATCCTCTCTTGGGGCTGAGGCTGAAGTCCAAACTGGGCTGGGTGGGGAGTTGGGGGAGGGGCTCAGGCTGGAGAATTTCAGAGAATGGAACAAGCTCCCTGTAGCCAATGCAGCGACCTCAGCCCCATGGGTGTGGGTCGGGGTGGTGTCCCCCGACATGGGAGAGGCAAAGCCTTCCTTCCCATTGAGCCTGGGGAGTGGGGGCGGACTCCTCCCCAGCCTAACTGAAGAGCCCACTGGGGGCTCCATGGGAATCAGAAGAGAGTTCTGGAATGAGGCAGTGGGGCGTGATGGCCGTGGCAGACACCCCTTACTCTTCACACTGAATCTTCACCCCAAACCCTAAGATATGAGGTTTCCAGAGAGGTAAAGTCAGCTGTCAAGGGTCACAGAGCTCGGAAGGAGGAGCCAGGATTCAAACCCAGACACATCAAGTTCCAGTCTCCACCCACCATGTCCCCGTGACCTCCTTCCCCCTTTGCTGCCTGTTGTGGTCATTTGATTTCTCCTTCCAGCCTGCAGGGCCTCTGTCTGGCTTGGACCCAGAGGCCAGGCAGCTGCAGGAGCAGGACAGTAGCCTGTACCCTGCAGACAAGAGTGCTCTGTCCAGGCAGAGCTGCGTGCCCTTCTGATGATCACTTAGGACTTTTAGTCCAGATAAGCTGTTTCCCCTGCAAATCCCCATCCCACCTCCTATAGGAACCTAGGACAGGAAGTGACCCCTCTACTCACATCCACAATAGATAAGATTGTGTGAACTGATCCAAGGAAAGCACTAGGCCGGGCTCGGTGGCTCAGCTTGTAATCCTGCGCTTTGGGAGGCCAAGGTGAGTGGATTGCCTGAGCCCGCGGGTTCGAGACCTGCCTGG